TTTTTTTTTTTTTTTTTTTTTTTTTTTTTTACATAAAACAGAAATATTTGTAATCCCTGAAAAGTAATAGCTAGATCTAATTCCCACTGGAATAAACAGGTTCTTCATTGACTTTGGTGACAGTTATATTAAACCCTGTGTCCATTAAAATAAACAGTCTATTTATAGAACAGAAATTAAACAATTAACCTATTTATAGAACAGAAAATGCATGTTCATTACATGTCAGAATCACCTTAATATATTTTGCTGGGGTGTGGGGGGCATAAATTTTTTTTTAAAAAGCATGGAAGAAATTTCAGTCCCTTTCACCTCTTTGGGTTTTTTTTTTAATTTTCTCTTCATTTTTCCTCATTTTTTTTACCCTCCATGAAGTTGTTACAGTAAACAGAAATTAAAATGGAATTGCAATTTTAATCTCATCCTGGTGCTGACAGGATTATATTCAGACTGGTAGATATACCCCAAAATCTAAGATTCATTTCTCTAAGGTTTGGATGGAACAAAATATTACTAAAATGTGATCCTACTTGCATTTTAAAACCACAGGCATAACACATTTGTCTTTCTCTGTTAATCTTCCAAAGTTCTTGTGATGCTTTTATAGCTGTCAGTTTAATTTGGGAAAGATTTACTGTTTATATGTTGTATATTCTGTAAATCAACTAGAATATAGTGTTATATAACTTTATTACTACTATTATTTTGTACTTGTCTTTAACTGGCAAAGGTAAGTTTTCTCTTTTTTAAATGACACATAATTATAGGTTTGCCATTAAGTGGTAGATGTAATTCATGACCTGTTTTGATTTGACATTAGCAGCTGAGGGAAAATGACAGTGTTGGTCAAGAGTGGGAATTTCAGTGAGAATCATTTAGATCCGTAGACCCACAAGCCTATATTGATTTTTCAAAATTATCTACTTTTGTTTGGTTTAGATGGGTAAGTTGAATACCAACTTATAAGGTATCAGGGTCTGCTATTGCAGCTTTTTTATTGACTTCACTGGACACTTGTGCAAGTATTCAGACTGGATGTTGACTCTAGGCCTCATTGTACACCATACAGAACCTATTGAATTTCAGTGGAATTGTCAAAAGTAATCTAATTTTTTTTAATTTTTTTTTCAGAAAGTAAAAGAAAGCCTTGTACCCGTAATTATGTAGAGAAAAATGAAGCAAGTTTCAGGTTCCAAAAGCTACTGCTATGTGTAATATATGTAATGCAGATCAAAGACACAGTGCAGTGCAAGACTATTATTATTTCTGACTCTCCATAATATAAAAAAGACTCAGTAAAGCAGATATTTATACAAGAAGTAACATTTACTGTGCAAAAAATATTATATTAAAATGAATTGAGTGGGAAATCTTTCTAAGAATGTGGGTAGAGTCCTGCCATTATTTACTATTTTGAATCAAATGAAATCTTGGTAATGTGCAATTTTACTTTTCAGATTTATATTTTAAATAAAATTAAACTACCACTTGTAATTAAGCAAAAGTATTTCATGTTACTATACATGAAATAAAGTCTAACTTTGTGATTAATGACAGATTCCTATTATGTTTATGAAACTAATGATAATTTTTAAAAGGACACCTAATCATAAATGCTGCTGCTACTTAAACACTAAGAAATAATATGCTGCTGCTTCCATAGATGATAATCTCATACCTTAAACCATCAATGCATTGTCACACTGTTTATTTGCTATATCCACCTTGGTGAAATCTGTCACATGGATGTGACTCTTGCTTTGACAATGCAAAGCCAAGTGATATGAATTAGTTTGTGCATCTTTTCAAGATGTGATGCTGCAGATCCTTCAGCTTGAATTAAATAATTCTTCCATCTACAAATACAGCTGAAAGTTGGACTTGACATGGATCAATATGATCTGGGGCTAAATTTCTAAATGTGACTGATTATGTTAGCATCATGCCTACAGATCAATATTGAGTTTTATTATGAACCTGACTCTATAATTGGGTTTAATCAATAAACTTTTGTCTCCCTTTCTTTAGAAATTTTAGGTTTTTACGTCCAGTTTTTCAAAATTACATTTGGGATACATTTAGGACTGTACTTTTCTAGTAACGAATATAAAAAGACCTATATTTGAATTTAAAGGAACAAAGAGGCTGAGACCCTATTGTAAAGGGAAGTCAATTTTTAAGTTGATAAGACTGTTCACCCCAATATAGTCTATAGAATCTAACAGAGCTAAAATGCTAATACATAACTAGTCCTTTTGGGCACTGTAAGGCTTTTTTCTGTCCATACTTGGTAGATAATTCACATTGAGGACTTTGACAAAACATACCATTAATGAAAGCAATCACTAGAGCTTGTCTTTTGATAAACCCGCGGGGTTCAAAGGCGTTGAAAGATGCAATCTGTGAAGAACAATAAATTTGGGCCTTTGATTGAAGTGCCATTTGGTAGGGTATGTTTTCTCTATGTATTTACACAAAAATACTGCTCCCTTTTTCATTACTCTTTGCTTGGAGGTTGAAGGAGCTCTTTGCCATTACTACATTAAGGTTTGTCTCATTAAAAGCCGAGTACAAAAAGAAGGCTGGAAATGACTTAGCTCAAGTCAACGTGTTCATTTCTGCTCTAGTTTGCCATTTGGGAAGTAGGCTTCTAGCCATGATGAATGTTTTCTATTAGTGGTACCTTTGATCTCTATAGACATATTCTTTCAGGCACCAACAAATAAATGCACAAACTTTTACTTACAGTGTAAGAAAGCTATTTGCTTAGTATTCTTACAGAAATGAGATAGAGGGCCTGAGAAAAATAAGAAATCGTTGGAATAAATAACTTATACTCATGAACTTGTTTTATAATTTTACAGTGTTTGTAAAGTGATCCAGTAGAAAAAGCACATAGAATGATGTTAAATATACTGTCTTAAATTTGCAGTTGACTTTCTAAATTGTCATTTTGGTTAAGGGTTTATATAGGCTCATAACTATGTCATGTATGTTTGGTAGGAGTAATACAAGGGAAAAAAGACTGAGTTGCCCACAAATGACATTATAAATTTCACCTATTTGTTCACTGATGCAAATTTGATGGTGATAAACATTTTAAAAGGCAGTTCAGTAAAACTAGTTGCTAGATTAATTTAAAATAAGATTCTATAATTGTAGTCACTTACATGTACCTGCTGATATGATTTAACCCTCAAACTTAAATGTTTTCCAAAATATTCTTTACTTTGTGAAAACCCTATAAAAGAATATACATACGCACATATGTTTTCTCCTTTCTGTGGACAGATGCAGATCGTGGTCAGAAACATGGTATGGATGAGTTTATTTCTGCTAATCCCTGCAAATTTGACCATGCTTCCCTCTTTAGACTGCTTCAGAGGCAGACCTTGGATCATAGATTGAATGATTCCTATTCTTGTTTGGTGAGTAAAGATTGAAATAAAAGAAATGAAAAAGTGAGAAATAGTTGTTACAAAGTAGTCTTTTCTTCCTGACTCATTCAATAACTGTGCTTGTAGTTGGGATAAAGGATTCCAATCGATTGGCTTCAAATTTGAAAATTATACACTTGAAGACTACTGCTGTGCCACTCAATAGAGAAGCAAATAGACTCAAACTGACTCTGAACCATAGTTTATCAGCTCCTCTAGGGAGGGCTGAATAAAAACAGAAGGCTTTAATAAAGATGGAAACCTCTGTGGTAGGATTTACTAACACCTGTACAGGCATTTTAAGGTACAAATTCAGCTTGCCAGATGTCAGACATTATGTCATCTATCTTGTAATTCTCTTCTTTTTGAGCTAGGGAAGTAAAAAAAAAAAACAAAAGAAAAGAATCAAAACCATGGGGGGTGGGGAGGGAGGGACAAGGGCAAATAGAATTGTTGTGTTTGTATTCAGCTGAGTCAAGGTTGGCTCTATAAGCATAAATCCTGTAGGAATTATATGCAACCACGCATAGTTTGAAAAAATACTTATTAGACAAGGAAGTGGGTAAAGTGTGATTGGTATACAAAATGAATGCTTTTCATACCTAAAGGTATGTTATAAACACAGATTTAAATAGAGGCTTTCAAACTTCATTCTCATTTCGAATTTTGTTCATTATACACTGCCTTTTGCCTCCGATTTTTCTGCTTGAAGAGGGAGAGAGCCTGATTATGACTTTATTTAACATGGTAAAAAACTTTAAAAAAAATTCAAGGAGACTAGTGACTTACACAGGTATAAAACTGGTAGGGGTAACATTAGACATGCCCTTAACATCCTGATGTTATGTTTGTAATGGTTTAGCATCAGGAATTGTAATCTGTTAGTTAAAGCATCACAACCAATGTTTTCAAATCAAGCAGCACACAGTCTTCAAAACTGCAGCTCTAACAAGTAAATAAAACAGGGGACAGTTGTGGGGGGAGCAAGCATACAACTAGTAAAAAAAATTGTTTTCGTGATTGTACTTTTTTTTTTAACTTGATAATTGAACGGTGTTTGCTTCCTTTAAAAAATTCATTAATTTATTGGCATCTTTAGTATTGCACTGGATAAGTATGTCTGAAAAAGTTAAAGGACTTATTTTTGTGTCTATGAGTTCTGCTCTGAATCAAAGGAAAGGCCTGAAGGTATGTTTGTACAAAGTAATTGGCACTCAAAGAGAAAATGGTTAGCTTTCTAACAGTGCATCAGGGTCAAAATGGTTTTTATCATAATAATATAGTACGGCACTTAATATAACCTTGAAATCAGGAACTTTTAAGAGAGGTGATATGGAATATACAGTGTTATAGCAATCACAAAGTAACTGCATTTCTTATTGGTCTTTTTTACTTCAGCTTTTGATAAACAAAATGGACATGAATAATGTTCTATGTGGGGGTGTTGGAAATAAAAGATAAACTACTTGGTAACTACATTTTTTAGAAAAAATGGAGAATGCTAACATGGGTGCAGCTTATATGGGAATAACTAGCTGTATTTTTAGTTGCTCCATGCTAAACATTTCAATTTGCATAAACTGCAGACATTTTAAAAACTAGGTGTATCATTAAATTTCAGTAAATTAAAATATAATCACGCAGACATAACTTCAACAGAGATCTAAATTTTAATTTTAAATAATAAGAACTAAATATAGTCTTTGAATAAAATTATCAACTGCCCTAAAAATCTTTAATTTCGCACCCTTGTAAACAGTGGGGAGCTTTTTTTGCAATTACACAATAAATAAAAAATGATTACCAAAAATTACCTACTTGCCTAATACTACATAGGGCAAAACTGTTTGCATAATTGTGTAAATGTACATATGTGGTATGTGTGGGGTTCACATGTTATGTAAAAATATTCATCTTGCAACATTTTCATTAAAGGGATATGCAAGGTTCATATGCAAAGTTTAAACAGATAAATGACAGTCCTGCAACTTGTAGATCTGTTACTGATATAAAAATTATATAGTAGTGTTTCTATTGATTTACTGCTTTCTGAACAGATAAACAGAATTGTGTTAATCTATTTTGCTATATAAATATTAATTACATTTTTTTACTAAATTGTGGAAGTGTGTAATTAACTTTAAATTTGTTAATATATTAGTAAAGCATTGACTGGGTAACATTTTCATGAATAAGGGTTTATTGTATCTATGGATACAATTTATCGTGTGACTTCAAATAAATGTCTCTTATATTATATCTTTCTGGAGGATAACTATATCCTCTTTCATGCAAAAACTATTTACTCATATTTTTACATTGGAGTGATACATTTTTAGGTTTCCTCTAGAAACAGTAAAGTCATCTTCTAAGCCCACTGAAGGCAATGGGAAGAGTTCTATTGACTTCAGTAGGCTCTGGAGCAAGTTATAATGTTTTTGTTGAGAATGGTTTTGTGAGAACTATGGGATTCTCTGAGACAGTGTTCCTAAATTATAGCCAAGAGACAGACTGAAAATACAAAAGCAAAATCCTTGATGGCATAACTCTTATCTTGGGTGCTGCTGTGCAAAAAATATTTATGATTTTTGGTGGGGGTGGAGTGGAGAACCTTTCTAAGATTTTTGTTTCTATTTCATATAAATGATAAACATCTTTGCCCATAAAAGTATTTTTGTTTTTTTGGAAGTATTAAAAAGTTCTTTACATTCTGTAGAAATGCAATTATTTAATGAGACCCAATGGTGCAATGAAGCATTGGTTATTTGAGGAGGGATATTTTCTTTGTTCCTCAAGTTGTTTTCATATAATTATATGTTCCGCAATAATCTCTTTTAATAAATATGGAAGAAATTCATATCACAGTCGAAAGTTCCTGTTAAAAATGGCAATAACTTTCATTTCTGTATTCATCCAGCCCTGTGTGTGTACCTCTCATCCTTTTTCTTTTTTAACTTTAGTACAGCCTCCTTTATCAAAATTTGAGGATGGCAATTTTTTTCTGAATTTGAAGTTTTAATTTTCTCAAGGAATTTTAAACTGAAAGATGTCCTCCTTGCCTCCCTCAGGGTATGCTATTCTAGGTCACCGTCTCAAGTTTATTTGCAAACAGGCTTTTGGCATTCCTATCTAATTAATGCACTAGCATACCTATTCATAATTTAAAGTCAGATTCGCCTCATCTTGCCCACAAGAATAGTCTCAAAATGCTTGGCTGTGTCTCTCGTGAATAAATACATATGTTAAAAAAATGTTATGCACAAATAGATTACATAAGAAAGATGGATAAAAAGTTAAATATATGGTTCAGTTCTCAGATTAAGGGTGCAGTCACATAGAATTATCCATCTGAAACTTGTCTCTTAACCATATTTCCAAAGACAGTAAATCATATTTTTATTTGTTTTTGTTTATCATTATTTATATTAATAAAACCACGCATTTAAATCATTTATTTAATGCATTGTGTAATTTGTCAGATTTTTTTATATGTTTAGATCTTGTACAACATCTTTAGACTGTGTGGTTTTTAGTGGTAGCAGGCTGAAGAACTGCAAAAAGTTACTCCACAGCAGTTATTGAGTAGGCTGCTATGTCCTATACTTTAATACATTTCTAACATTATTAACATTAAGGTGATTATAAATAGAATATGTGTGTTTATCTTGTATGCATAAAATATGATTTTTCTCTTCTCCATTCTTTGTTGGGTTGATTGTAAAACTTTGCAATTATAAGCAATGCATTTTATTAAAATAATGTATTTTTTTCCCTTCTTTTCCAGGGTTGGTTTAGCCCTGGCCAAGTCTTTGTGTTAGATGAATACTGTGCTCGTTATGGTGTGAGAGGCTGTCACCGCCATCTCTGCTATCTTAATGAATTGATTGAACATTCAGAAAATGGTGCTGTCATTGACCCAACCTTGCTCCATTACAGCTTTGCTTTCTGTGCTTCTCATGTTCATGGCAACAGGTAATTTAACATGCAAATATATAGTAAAATTAATTAAGTTTGGGTAAGGGGAAGAAGAGAGCATTTATGCTTAGGTCTCTGTACTCAGCAGATAGCGAAGTTGAATACTTGAAATGAACAAAGAGATCAGTTTATAAAAAGCTTCTGCAGAGTGGTTCTGGGGATTTTATAGAACTGTTCATAGAAAATATCTTTTCAATGTATTGACATGTTGTTAAGCATTTGTTCCCATGCATTGTGTCAAGGAACAACACAAGGAAAAAACGTATCTCGTTAGTTAAAAAAGAAAAGGCCTTCTGCACTACCCCTCTTGTATTGTGCTAGTAAGCTGGTGTTTTGATTATATGTTCTGAACAATCCTGCAATGCAAGGAAAACAAACTACATCATGTTGACAACTGGCCTTTATTTTACTGAATATTTCCTGCAGAAGTTGCAGAAAAACAAGACACTATGGATGTGGTTTATCTGGACCACAACTTTATTAACTCATCCCATCTAGTGCACTTCATCCTTCCTTTATAACTTATTCCACCAGGTGGAGAAGTCATTCCACCAGACCCTGTTAGCTTGGTCTCAGCATTGGTTGTGGGGCTTCATTACACTCCCCTTATATGAGAGTTAAAGGGCTGAGGAAAAACTGTTATCCTCACTGTATGAGACATTAGAAGTAACAGCCTTCCTTCTTTAAATGATGTCTTGGACTAATCCTGTTCCAATTCCAGTTTTTCATGGAACTGGAGTCCCTGATGAGCAATTACCTTTTATAGGCATCTTGTGTGACAATTTGACTTTTACAAGCTTATCTACCCACTGATGTCTTGGGCTGCTGGTGCCTATAGTAATCTCCTGAAATCTGGTCCTATTCTAATCCCAAAGCTAGGTGGAAAGGATATAAAATATAATATAATATAAAATAGAAAGCATTTACATGTCCACTTACAGATAGTGTGGTAGCCAAGAGACTTATGTTTCACCCTTATGTTAAATCACTGAGCCACAAAGCCCCCTTCCCCACTCCTTGAGGCCATAAGGAGAGGAAGAGGAAGCAATCCTTTAAGGGACCACAGTTTTTGGTTTCTCTGCTGGCCCAGATAAAGCTTCCCCACCTCTGAGGCAGTGGGTTGGGAGTCTATGACCTGAGGGCTTGTGAAAGGGAGTCAGGGGAAAAGAGATCGTGGTTGCAAAGTACAAAATGGTAAAAACTTAAAATCTTAGATGTTCTCCAGCTTTCTTAACTTGCATGCTGATAAGTTAGACACATTTTTCTACACTTTACGCGGTAACCTAGTTTGTAAATCATTCTTCCCTTGTTCATAAAGATCCTGCCACATTTGTATACATTCCATACTGAAGTACAGTTCTTTGTAGTTCTCTCTCTAGCCTTTTTATTATTGGTTTTGAACCTAAGAAGACAAACATTCAGTGATAATTGCTCAAACTTTTCTCAAGAATTCAAAAGAAAAAGATATTTCTTTTTATTTCATAACTTAAGTGAAGGACAACAGTGCATACAATATGTGGAAAAATCTCAGGGAGCACATCATTTTACCCGGTGGTAAGCACTCTGTATGTATTCCTTCTGTACAAATACATACTCTTTGAATAGCATTATGAGTGTTTTTAGGAATAAAAGAAGAGTGTTGAACAGAGAGGGTCTGACTAGTACTGAGACATTGTAAAAAAGAGAGAGAGAAAAGAATGAGGAAGAAAGAAGAAAAGTAAGTCAAGGACAAAAACAGACACACACACACACAGATAATACAGCCACTCATTCATCTACAGTACCACTAAGGAATGGCAGGAAGGGAAAAAAAGAATTTCACAAACAATACATGATAGGCCAAAGTTCTAGGCTGATATGTGATGTTATACATTTTAGTTTTATAAGTCATGCTGAGGAGGAGAAAAACTGCAGCACCAACACAAAGAGTTTTGTGGCCCAATTAAATGGTATGGACATGATGGATAAGAAGTGTATTCAGGATTTTTTTTTCTGGTTAGGAGGGCCATCTTAGGCCTTCTACTAGCCTGACAAAGACCATCTAAGGTATACGAGCTTTAGAGTGCAGGGTATGTAGAAGTACCAGTCATAACTGTGGTTGGTATACAAAGTAATCCCTGTTTCGTGTAATCACTAGTTTATTTCAGAGTAGTAGACAACCTTAGTGACATCAGTCAAATGATCAGATGAAGATGTGTCTTTTCTTCAGGATTTATAACATCTATTGCATTATGATGTGTATATATATGTATATTTATAGGTGGAGTGTGTGTATAAATCTCTGCTTCAAAAACAGAAGTGTAAAAAGAATCATTGCTGTGTTCCGTGAGCTACCTTACTGAGAGATGATGACAGCTTTCCTGTAATTAAAATTTAGCCTTTACAGCAAAGTGAATTAAATGTAGAAACAGATAAACCTTAAGCAGTAATTACAAGCAAGTATTGTAAAGAATATAATACATGTGGTGACCGAGCAGTGAGCTAAGCTACTCTTCATATATAGTTCAAGTATAGTAACCTACCACACTATGTGCAATACTTCTACTTAGGAGCAAATTTTTTACCATCCTTCTCAGTTGGTTTAAATGGTATTAGAAAATTAGAATGATATTACCTCTGTATAATTATGAGGCACTAATTAATAACAGTTTCTGTGTATGTATCATGAGAAATAACCCCTTAGGCACATACACACATGGAGGCACGTGCGATTGCAGCAGCTCAAATAGCACAGGCACAAATTTGTGCTGGAGATTTGTGCCTCAGCACATGTCTGAACATGCACTTTGATGTGGGGCAAGTTGTGTCATTGTGGGGCAAGTTGTTTGTTATGGGGCAAGTTGTGCTTATTGTGAACTGTCAAAGCATGTCCTCCTGGCTCCAAATGGTCAGGAAGTCAGCCACCTTGTTTGCCCTCCAGCTGGGTCCCTGGTTCCAGCCTTGGGTAGGTTCCTCTGCCTGGGTCCTGTCACTTGCCTCACCAGCAGGGCTCCTGGTATTCCCTGTTTCAAAATTGCTAATGCTCTGATTAAAAAAAAAAAATTCCAAATTCACTCTTTAAAATTCCCAAAACTCCATGTTCCTCCACGATTAAAACAAAACACTACTCTGTGTGTGTGTGTGTGTGTGTGAACAAGGGGGTGTGTGTGTGTGTGTGTGTGTGTGTGTGTGTGTGTGTGTGTGTAGAGAGAGAGAGAGAGATCATTTGGGCAATGTTTTATTGATATATTTACAATTTTAAAGCAATTAGGAAGCCTACCAGTGCATTTATTATTGTAATAAAATAAATTCTAAATATCTATATGCTTTGGTGTTTGCTTTGGTTTTTTAGCATGTGTATCTGATGCTGTCTGTTTACATGTTTTGTCCATGCAAGCAGAAGTGGGTATCAGCAGCCTCTCTATTACCATGCTAACCCTACACTGCAGGGTCTGTCACATGGTTATAAAACTTTATATGAACAGGGAGCAATTGCACGTTATTGATCTTGCTTTATATAGCCCCTTTGCTTTACAATAAATGTGTGGTGAGTTTAGATTCAGGCTGCCTTACCTGTCCATGTGCCTTCCCTTTATAGTGAAATGCTTGTTTCAGGATGGGGTCTGGAGGAACTAGTAGAGTGCTATAACTGTGGGTAGCAGGCTGGAAGACCCAGTCAGGAAGCACAGGAATCCAAAAATATGGCTTTGGCCTCTAACATATGAGCTGAAATTTTATGTACTCCTCGATAAGAAGCTCCTTTTGCTTGTGGTTTGTTCAGGATAAATCTTATGTCAAACAAGATTTAATCTTGTGAAAAGCAAAAGCAATGAAGCATCTTCTCCATGCTTATACCAGTGATAGGGCATGGGTTTTACTTGTCATTCCTACACGTGATTCCTTTGTCCCCAGGTCTGCAGAAGTATAGAAGCAGAAAAGGATTCTAGTGGTGGGGGGGCACATGCCATTAGGCTCAATTGTCTGATGCGTGCAACTGCTAGGTATATATGGAGAAAAAAATCAAGCAGTATAAAATAGTAAGGAAGAGAAGTGGTTTAAGTACAGAGAAAACTATTCTCCTTGTACACAGAAAGGGAAAATTTTTATTTTAAACTCTGCTTATACTTCTAAAAGTGGGAAAATCCTAATCCAAGAGCCTACGTGCATCAGTGAAGTCAAATTTTCTCAATACTCAATGCTAATATTAATACCAATACTACTATTAATACTCAGTATTAAGCCATTTGTGTTTGTTCTGAGATTGTGAAATTCTTACAGAATCACGCTTGTCACACAATGGCTTCAAGAAAAGAAACATTAAAATCTGATTGATCGTCATTTGGCAGGGCAGGGCACTGCCCCAATGTTAGCAAATTGATCACATTTTTTAAAAAGTTAAGAACTTCTTTTATTGTGCATAACAAATCATTCTTGTGCTATTCAACAAACGTCTCCAAATTGACTGCAGAAAATTTCTGCACTGTGGGGTACTCTCCTAAGGCCATCCAAATAAATCAAATGTTAGATTTTAAATAGATAAGCCTGCACTTCATATATTATGAACTCAACACAAACAGAAGTCATGTAAATAACAGCCAATTGTATATAATTCCAGAATTAGATCCTAGTTCTTAATAAGTATATATATAAATATGATATTCTCACAAAGAACATTTAGAAACAGATAAACATAATTGATGTATTTGTATTATTAGTAATATAGACAATTGAGATCCTTGAATTGAATTGAATTGAATTGAACTCCCTATCTAGAGTGAGAGTCCAGTCTAATAATAACTTGTAGCTCTTCTCTAATACTTTAAATCTATAACTCTCACTCAAAGCATTTTAGAAAGATAAGTTTCTCTCACTTGTCATAAGGAAACTGAGGTACAAATATATTAAGGAACTTATCCAAGCTGAGATAGGAAGCCAGTGGCAGAGTTGGGTAGAAAATTGTTATTAAAAAGTAAAGGGAACATATTTTAATGACTTTAAAAAAAATAATAATTTTCTTT